TTATCCTCTCATATGTGATATTGACTTTAACATCCACCAGGTCACAAAGCGAGAGGAAAACCAACAAACAAGATGGCACCCACAAATTTTCGTTTGCAAGTTGCCAGCCTCTTGGTCTGGCAAAATGCCCCTGCACAAGTACGCAAACCATTGCATTGTTCTGTTCTTGAGACAGCTGGGTTGCCATGAATTGGGGTTCTCTATGTGCAGTGATAGGTTTTGGGAAAAGAACAAACTGAACCGCACATTCATATCTGGAGGATGCGCCATACAAGTTTGCTATTAACTCAGATGTCCCTGACAGTTTGGTGTCTATGGAATAGGTTTGCTGTGAGTTCAAGATTTGGAGAAAATGCTTTGGATTAATTGGAGTTGGCTGGGTAATGTATGATGCTAATATATGTTAATGATTTTCCCAAGAACTTGTTGGTCAGAACATGTGGTTAGATTATATCAAATGTTGTTTGGTGTGGGTAAATCGTCAGTATCGGGTTCTGGTTCCCCAAACAAACCCAAAATCGATGTGTACATTACTTCCCTGATTATAGATTATTTTTACAGGTTCATGTTCCTGTCAAGTTTTTTAGGCTCTAGACCCTTTGTAATACTACTAAGGGATACTTGAAGGGTTTGCTGCATAACATGTTGTGCAAAAATGTTGTATATGTTTGTTTCTTGGTGGGATTTGGAAACTAGCATCGGCATGTTGATGGGTAGCTGGCTTGATGCCCGATGATGTTTGTAAAAATTCCTGTTCACATACAGTCTTCATTTGTTTTCTTGGCATCTGACCCTGACAGTTTGTCATTCTGCCAGCCCATGGGACTGGCTGAATGCAACCCTTGTTGTGTGATCAGCGGATTCTTGGCTGAGAGTAGGGAAGTAGGAGCATGACGGCATTCATGTGGCATGGACCTCTTTGAATTGCAGCCAACGTTAGATGGGCCGATTCCAAAGCGGTTGAAGTTCTCACCAGCATCAATTGAGAAACAGATCCTTGGAATAGGTCAAATTATGCAATGTTTTATTTTGCATGTTGGGAACTCACTATGTTGCCCCCAAAAGGTCTAACATTGTGACAAGTAGAACCTGCTAAATTTTGTTTGATGTTCCTGTTGCCCACCTGGCCTTTGGCACTGCCACGCTCAGGTCGCAATGCTGTGGCAAGAACTGTGTGGCAATGCTCTGTGATGATGTGGTCATGCGGGGCCTCCGAGATTCATTTGATGCAATGGACAATGATAAGAAGAACACCTCTCTGATCTCCATCTTAAAGCAAGCTTCAAAGGATTGGAAGGGATTGTTGAAATTATGTTTCTGTTCAAGAACCATGGTGGCTAGTTGTCATAGTTTTCCTCTGATTTCCTTTGTTGGCCTTCTGTTTCCCCATCCCATCCTGGGGGTGATGTCGTGAAGGAGGGCGGAGGCCATCAGATCTACAAGCTGAAGGACCATGTGGTTTGCAAGCAAGCCTTCTGCCAATTGCTCAATATCAATGTGAAGCGGGTGACATGGACTCACTAATTTTCAAGTTTCTGGATTTGGATTTTGAGGAGGTGACCAAAGGTTACTGTACATGATAGATATCTGAATGTATTTATTTTTCATCAACAAAAACTGGAGCAATGCTAGTTTGCCGACCTACTAATAGGTAAACATGCTGACATCAGGGTTCCATTTGTTCCAAGGTAAACCGGCTGCTTCCAAATGTGAAATCTGGTATCCCTCCGGTGGATCTGCGCACCATGAACGGGATGGCAAGAGCTGATGAGTCTAATGGCAGGAAATCAGTTGAAGGATTCTTCACCTTTCTCTACCACTTCGTGGCTCCTTCACTGCATACCACAGATTCAAACTGGGGCATAGTTGATATCCTTTTTGCACCTCTGGGTGCTTGTATTTTTGGTTGTTTGTGGCACATCTCAGGCAGAGCCACTGGCTGAGCACCCAGATGAATATGACCCATATGTTCGAAGTCTGACACCAGCGGAAGGTATCTTTGATTGTTTGATTCATACAGTTTGCTGTCTTGAATCTTTTTTTGGGGCAGCCTGTGTTATTATAAGCGGGGTTATTCTCTCCTTGCCATGAATGTCATAAGGCATGGCTCTGAGGGAAGATGGTGGTATTCCTGATGCCTTGCTTGACCCTTGTGCTGCTGTGCATTGGGCACATGTCTTGTCTGCAAATCCAATGGCTCGGGTGGTAAATGGCTTGGATGGAAACTCACCTATTTTCGAAAGCGTTTTTCGAAAGATACTTTCTAGATTACATAGCTCTATATGTATATATATATATATGTGTGTGTGTCTTGTTTTGGAGGTAACCCCATATTGATGAAAGATTTTCGAAGAAAACAATTCAGTGCAACCAGGCTCCAGCCAGCAGAAGCGCTTTCTCAATTGGATGACATGGGATGCACTTCGTGCCCAATATCAGCAATGGTGTGATGCCCATGACCTTGAGGAGACCCACCGGGCCAAGCGAACCCTTTTTGAAAAGATTGGAAAGGAGTGGTCCAAGGTCCTTGGCTTCCGGAAAATTGGTCAACATGCCCGGTGCCTTGCCAACATCTATGGGTTGTTGGGTGTGAGGGCTGGTTCTGATGTCCTATGTGTTGCTCATGTCATGGTATTTCATGCAGGTTATCTTGTCTATGTCTTTGTGAATTTCAATAAGATTAGACAATTTTCAATACCATCCCCAAAAGGACTTAACAATCATTAATTGCAATTTCGGCCTAGAAAAATAGTGGCATTATACCATGAAGGGTTTCTGACAGAGGGAACCTACAAAAGATGTGGTTACTGCGAAGATTTTTGGCCACCTGCGCATGAAAGATTGAGCCGAGTAACTGCTTGCACTCCCAAACTGGGTTTAACAGGTGTTCGTTCTTGTAGGATGCTTGTTCCTTCGAAAGGAAGTTGTTCTTTGGCATCTAGGGTGCAGCATTTGAAGCAATAAATATCACCGTGGCCCCTGGTGGGCATGTTTTTGTCGCCAGCCATTTTATGGCTCCAGTCCTCTGCTGCATGTTGTATTGCAGGTTGTTGCACCCTTACATGTGGCATTCAAGTATTGGGATGTGCTTTGATATTTTGGGGTGTTCTGTGTTGTTGATTCACTGCTGGCCGCCTCTCTTGTCTGTGCAGCCATGCCACTTGGTATCAAGCGTATCCCTGAAGATTACCTTCTTGAGTCCTACCAGAAGGCCAACAAACGCCCAAAGGTGCCACCACCAATCGAACTGGTGAAGAAGCGCCGAGACGTTTCTCCAACTGTTTTGTGTGAAAGTTTTTGTATTGAAATCATGGGGAGGTTTCCCCTTCTTTGGGGCTGAATTTGCCTTTGTGAATTTTTGTTTTTGTGGGTGCACTGGCTAAGGAAATAATCCTGGAAAGTCACAAGGCCAAGGGCTATGGCGATTTCTTGGCCAGGAATTCTAACAAAGATTTCAATTTCGAGGACAGGGTTTGCATGTCTCACAGGGCGGGCTTCCACCCACAATCCAACATAACCCAACATAACCCAAACCCAACATAATCTAATCGGATCTGGTTTTGCAATGTTTGAATTTGTTTGTCATTGTTTCCAGGATCTTGGCTGGAAGGAAGCCCGTTATCTTATTCAGATGAGCTGGCAGTTGCTTCATTACAACGACCGCCTCTTGTTAAGCATGCCCATGCTTGTCAAAGACTGGTGCATGACCAATCACATAGACACATCCTTATGAAATTGTCAAAGAATAACAGATGCCAGCAACTAGATGCCAAGATAATCCAACACAAAGAAACCATACTAGGTGATTTATACAGTACCCTCTACATATACCCTCTACATACTAGTTACTAGGTGTTATATGTACTTTGGGGTTGCTTGGATACTGGAGCTGAGCTGATGCATCAGACAGCATGTCCCTTTAAAAAGGAAAGGGGAAACATTGGATTTTGGATATGATGTTTTATATTTGTTCTGTCTCTTGACTGCTTTGGTACTGCAATGAAACTGCTTGTATGTGTTTAGATGTATTAACTAGTTATACTTCTGCTGGTTAGAAACATCTTTGTTTCTGTCTTGTCTGATCTGAGGATTGGTGGAGGAATGCCTGGAGCTCGGTGAGAAGGTGCGGGAAGCTGAGAACAAGGAGTGGGAGCTTGAGTACATGAAGGAGAGATGCACGTGGCTTGAGACTGTGGCCTCAGAGGCCTTGAACGTGTCCTTCCCAGCCGGAGACCAGAATTGGTTTGATGGATATGTTGCAGGATTCAAAGCTGCCCATTCCACTCATGGAAATTTTGATCCGGCAATGTTCACAGAGAAAGAGGTTTCATCTGTGGCTGAGACCAAAGATGCGGAGAAGAATGCGAAGGACAAGGGCAAGGCCATGGATGATAACAACGATTCAGATTTTGAGTGGGTTGTGGAGGAGTCCCCAGGCTACGCATCGACTGCAGAGCCTACAGATCTTGAAGAGACCCAGGCTGGAATTGCAAGTGATGATGATGGAAACTAGCTGAGGAGCTGGTGTCCAAATTATTTGCCTCTACCACAGAGCCATAGAGCCATCATTCCGAGAAAAGGTTTTGTGATGGTGGGCGTGTGGACCTTTTAAATGGCACAGTTTTCCATTCTTGCCAAGGGATCCGTCTGACATGCTTGCGCGTGAGTGTCGAAAATAAGTGTTAGGGATGGGGTGTATGGTTTTGTGGGTTACATCTGTGTGGGTTTTTGGGCCCCTTTTTCCAAGAAGTTCAAGCATCAAAAAATGGACATGTGATGTCTTACATGCAGTCTGTTGCAAACGTCTAGGGTAAATGCTCAGGGAGTTCCATTTGCTGTTCGCCATCCAATCGGCTTGGTGCTTCACAGCTGTAAACTTAGTTTTGCAATTTTTCCACTAGATCAGATGCCGTCCTGCTGGGGGATCAATCAGGTGCACTGCATGTGCTGAGTTCACGGAGCGCATCAAGTCAGCCCGTGGCGACGAGCGAGCTGCTGTCATGAAAGCCCAGGAGTTGCACATTGGCACAGTGAGGCAGTACCGATGTGCTCAAACACGCATCAACCACATGTCGGAGGATGCGGTGAAGGAAGGCCGCACAGACAACTATGATGAATTCATCAAAGTGGATATCGATGCCTGTGATGAAGCGAAGTTCAAGTGCCCAAGGAATACCTCTAATTCCAAGAGTCTGGAAGGCAATTGGCGGCCGCAATTGCATCTCCATGGGTCTCTGGTTTGGGGTGTGCCTAGTCTCAAGTATTGAAGATACATATTCTACAGACATATAATTATAGTCGCATTTTTACCAAATAAAAATGATACTGTGTATAAAGTCACAGGGGCTGAGTTTTATGCTGGTATCTGTAACAGGAAATTGTAAGATCCTTTCTTTGCTTGCAGGTGGCAGAGTGCTACTACGTCTTGGAGCCTGACATGGCCAAGGATGCGTCCACTGAGGCAACGATCTTGTGCAAAGCTTTGGATGATGCCAATGAGATCCTCCAGAAGCGATCTACCACAATGCCGGGGAACATCATATTGGAAGTCGGGTGGGTTCCAAAAATGTTCAAGACATGTTTATAAAGTTGCTGCAAAGTGTTGCATATGGTTTTGTTGACCCATTGGCTTTGATAGTTTGCTGTTTCTAAGTGCACTCTGCCCCACCCTGCCAGACCGACAATACAGCAAGAGAAGGGAAGAATCAAACCCTGGCCTTATTCCAAAGTTTGTTGGTGGCGTCTCGAAGGTTTCTTGTTTGTACATTTCTTTTTTATCTATGGGATATTAAATTGTTTGGGGGCAGTGGTCATGGGTTCCCATGGCTGATTTTTCCGTAAAAATGCCAAGGGTTTGGCATGGTTTATGCAATCTAGGTTTCGCAGCTGCCAACACTACATGGGTGAAGTTGGCCACACACATGGTCCTCTGGACCAACGCTACTCTGTAGTGGCCAGTGCTTTGGCCCAGTGCAATGTGCTCCAGTGCCCACAGGAGAGCATAGTGTACTATATATATACATATAACATATTTAAAATGGTTTGTGTACTTTAATTTCAACATCTGTAATTATAAATACAATTATTTATTCATTGATTCGACAGATGTTGTTTTCGGTATGCAAAAGGGTGTTGAAGATATCTATCAGATGTTTTAGGAAAAACAATTCCTGACAGGACTTTGTGGAAGCTATCAAGCGTTTGGTTACTCCAAGCCGTGGTCGCAAGCTCATCGTGGAAGTGTTGACTGGTGCCTTGAATTTCAAGGTCTACCTTGAGAACCTTGACGTTGTGATTACTGGCCTCACTCCCAATCCTCGTGGTGCTCAGCCGCAAATGCACACCAACCACTGCTGGCGCTTTGTGCGAAGGATGGATTCTTGCCTTTTTGACAATCACATTTTGTGTGGTTGTTTTTTGTGGCCTGGCCAACCCTCCAAAACATATATATATGATGTTTTAGCTACTATGTGGCAAGTTCATATATCCTTTCTTTGTGATGTTGAAAAGAACATATGCACACAAAGCACATATATATATATATACACTTGAATATAGATACAGATATAGGTGCAAAATCAACTTTGGGCAAGCCAGCATGCATGTGTTTATTTATGGCTACAGGGCACTACAGGGTGTTTAGTTTATGGACTACGTGGAAGACGGGTATGGGGCATCACTCTCTGGGAACTAGATCATTGCAAAATTGCCTTTTCCTGGAAACCAGGATTTGCCAACGTATGATCATGATGGTGAAGTGGCTTGGGTGGTCACAGAGTTTGCTGACCAGGAGTGGGACTTGGAGAAATTGTCGTTCCCGTTTACACTTTTCAACAACACTGATTGGTCTCATTGTGACCAAGGTATCACCACTTGTGTTGTGCAGGAGAGGGAATACAAGCAAGATCCGATGGATGTGGTCATGCTTTGCAAAGAGTGGGTCCATTCGGCTTCCCTGTCGCAAGAGCCGCTTATGATCATCCCAAAGGACTATGTTGACATCCTGAAAGGGGTTCGTCTACAAGCTCATCCCCGAAAGGAATTGAGCACCCGTGAGTGTGATGAGTGCCCAGTTGTCAACCAATAATCTTCTGGATTTTTTGTGTTGAAGACTGTATGAAATAGTTATATGGGAATATATATATATATATTATACACATATTTTTACATACATATATATATATACACATACACCCTTACTTGTCGAAAATGATTGTCAATCCATATTTTGATTCATCGATTTTGACATGCTCGTTTGTGTTGAATCCAAGGTTCCTTCGCACTGCAAAAGCTGTGGAAGCAGAACCGTGGCATCTGCACAAGGCTGCTGCCTACTTACGAGCTTTTGTGGAATCTTCGTTTAACCAATGGACATGAATTTAGTTCTGTTTGTGCCTCCCAATGTTTTGAAGAAGGTTGCCGCAAACAACGCGCAAGAAGAGGTAACTATTTATTTTTTCGAGATGTGTGCTATGGGATTTTAATCTTTGGGGCCACTGTGGGTCACATCAAGCCTGCTATGCCCATGTCATGCAAGGACAACAACAAGAAAGGAAGCTTCCCAGATGCTGTGATGCCAGTCTTCTTCTTAACTCATGTGGTGGATGAAAAGGTTCCTTCGAATGCTGGGTAACTAAGCTGAGTTCATGCGCAAAAGTGGAGCGTTTTTTGCACAGCAGTGGTGCCAGAGTTTTCTTCTATGGGTAGGGGTTGTAATTTTGGTTGATAGATAGTTTTGAGCTTGGCAAGGGTTTTCAGCTTTGACTGGGCAGCAACCATTTTTTTTCCAAGGTGGAAAAAATTTGCCCCTGGACCAGTGCGTGTGATTTCTGCAGCTGGCTTGCAATCAGCGCAGAGGGTGCAGGCTGCTGCCAACAATGCCCGACTGCGTGCTCGACGAGCTGTTGCAGCCCCGTTGCGAGCTGATGCCTTGCCACTTCCTCCTCCAGATAGGGGTGATCAACCTGATGCTGATGGTGACCATGCAGATCCCCCAGCACCACCAGTCTTGCCACCCGGGCGCCAACTGGGATGCACTAAGTGCAGATTCCAGGCCACGGGGTGCAAGCAGTGCCAGAGGCCCGACTATGTGCCACGGGGGAAGGGTCGGGGCAAAGGGGGTGCAGCCAAAGCACGAGCAGAACCCAAGGCCAAGGCCAAGGGGCGAGGCCGTGGCCGCAGCAACCAGCACTAAGTGTGTGACTGTTTAGGGGTTATCCTGATGTGAAAAGCTGGAGGCGATGATGAACAAAACATGGTTCAAGTTCTATTCAAATCTATTCATTTCAAATATGTTCATATGATTTGTTTCAAGCTGCCAGCGGCGCATCTGTGATTAGGGTTATGTTGCGAAAAACCAACAATGGTTTCAACGCAGTGTATCTGTCAAGGGCGAAGCAACCTTTGACTTGATTTGGAAACATGGTAGCAGTCAATGGGGAAACTTGTGAAAGATTGAGACCCACTGGGGGCTGTGAATCTTGCCATTTCAATGTGAATTTTGCCATTTCAATGTGGTACTGTGCACCAAGTTGTTTGCATTGTTTGATGTTCTCATTACATTGGCCCGAAACTTTTCATGCTAAGGGATAAAATCCCATGGCGTCTCTTCCCCCTGATGATGATGGCTCTGGCTTAGATGATGCGTTCTCACTACCGCCACCTGTTGCAGTGAAACCAAAGAGAAAAACCAAAGCCAAGGCTAGGCCAAGTGCCCCAGTGGCAGCCACAAAACCCAAAAAAGAGAGGGAAAAAAAAACAACAAGGTCAAAGAATCAGAGGGGAGAACGTGCTGTGCAAGCTAGTGAACCTTCCCAACCTAGTGGAACCAAAGCAAAGTCAGAAGCTGGCATGGACTATGCTCATCATGCTACTTCAATTGCAGGTCAGTCCTTTGAATGCAATGATTATGTAAGCAGTTTGTCATTTTCTGGGTGGCAAATTCCAAGCTCATAGTATGAAAACTCAAATGCCTTTAATGTTTTGTGGGCAACTGTATCGCCACCATTGAGGCCACATATTCCGTTCCAGGACATTTTGGAGGAGCTGAAATGTTTACAGCCTGCAAAGCGAGACGTTCGATGCCATTTCTGGGAAATTTACAGCCGGCCCCGTATAGGACCTGTGGTGAGGGAACTGGGCATGCGATCTTTGAGAAGCATTGATGTTACTTGGTTGTGAACTGCTGGCCCTTGCCACCCTGTATCATTCTGTATCATGATTGTTAGAAACCACCTCAGGGTCTTAACAGAAATTTGTGATTAGCCAGGGCAATTGAAAGCATCGAGGTGGACAACTTCTGGGATCTCCGAGACCCCTCAATTCAGCACATGCTACTCAGTGACTTAGTTTCGCTCAAACCGTTCTTCACAATGTTGAGCCCGCCTTGCACACACTTGTGCCAGTACATGTTCAGCAACTGGGGACGCATGGATGCCCTGACCAAGTATGACCTTTTGCACCAAGCCATCGGGCACATTGATGTGAGCTGTTGGATAGCGACGGTTCAGCTGGCAACCCAGTCCTATTACTGCATCGAAAACCCAGAGGGGTCACAGGCCTGGAACCGTGACAATGCATCTGGGCTTCAATGTTTGAGATATGCTGCAAACCATTTGGGTCTATATATTTTTTTGGTCTATGTTATATATGTTGTTCTTTTCTTAGGTAGCGCAATGTATAATTTTTGTCCTTGCTGGTTGGGGATTCAAATTTGCATCAGATGAGGTCAAACAGTTACCTCATTGTCGAAAAGTGGTCTTTGACCAGTGCCGCTATGGCTTGGTTTCGTTAGAGGACAAGAAGCCGATCAAAAAACCGACCATTTTCGCCACCAACTGCCGAGCCATTATCGATGAGTTCGATGGAAAGCGATGTGCAGGAGACCATGAGCACTGCCGATTGGAAGGCAGTGAAGGAGGACAAAGAAGGACAAAGGCTGCCCAAGTCTACCCGCAGCCCCTCTGCACAGCAGTGGCCAGGTGTGTTCTCCGCCAATGGCAGCAGGATCACCCTGGGAAAAAGGGTTAATTTTTCAATTTAGTTGGAGATGGTTAGCTCAGAAGAAAGGTGCCACAGTGCACAGTAGTGGAAACCCCAAATCACTGCGACATGGGATGAAAAAGAGAATCTTCAGAACTCAATATCTCAAAATCAAACATTGAGATAGGAAGATTTCAGCCGAAATCTTCGGAACTCCCTATTGGAATTCAAAATCTTCAGAACTCAGTATCTCAAAATCAAACATTGAGTTAGGAAGATTTCACTTTCCAAGGGGAAGATAGGAAGTTTTCAGCTGAAATCTTCGGAACTCACCTCATGAATTTCAACAATTGAGTTAGGAAGATTTAAAAAAAAAAATGCGGATCTCAGACTTGTTCAAAAATAACAGGGTTCAGCCTATTCCAGCCTCACATGCCAAGCCACACTGCAAACTGGAATTGCACAAGATATTCTGTTCATGTCCCAAAGTAACATTGAAAACGACCCCAAAAGGTCCGACGGGTGGGAGGGGATAAACCATGGAGATCGGAAGTTTTCAGCCGAAATCTTCGGAACTCGGGGACCCCAAATGGTCCGACAATTTGAAGGTCATGTTTTTTTCCAGACCATGTTGTATATATGTTATGGGGAAGGGTTGCAGGTTCCAGCCTTCAGCAAGAGCTTATAAAACATTCTGCAGGCTTTTGCAATCAAGGGCAGCTGAGAGCCAGCTTGAGACAAGCCTGACTTTCAGCGGGGCCATAAGAAACACTTTCGATCCAGCCTGCAATGGAGGAAGCGCCATTTGCAGGAATGATGGGCATAGAGAACGGCTCTCTGCAATCAGAGGATTGGTTAGATGCTAAGCAATATCAAAAAGATGTTCTATTTTTTGCTTGTTTTGTTGCAACTTATTTTTTTGTGGGTGGATGATCTATATGTTTATTTGCAATGGGCACCTTACCATGCAGCTAGCATTAGGACCGTGATGAGATTGCCAGCACAGTTCCCATGTCTGAACCTGCCGCTATGTCAGTGTCAGATGCACCATCGGAGTTGGAGCAGTGGGATTTGGTGACTCATGCTTCTTCGGAGCCCCAGAACAAGAATGACAAGCTAGCCAGCACAGTTTATCATGAGATCAAAGGCCTAAGGGTAGTGTTAAAACATTGCTTTACAAATATGGGGCTGTGTGCATGTGTGTGAAAAGGTGGCTATCAACAAAAAGGGTCATTGATTACATACATACCCTGGGAGGCTGTGGTGGTCCAAGGCACTTTCTTCAAGCATTGTACCCCAATCAGGCTCTCCGGCATGAGTTCTTCACATGGGTTGCTTCTGAGATAGGGGAGGACCCAACGGTTGCCTATGCTGAGAACTTTGGGGACATTCCGACTGTGCAGCCAGAGAAGGAGGGCGTGGTGGCAGCGGGGTATGTGAGGTTGTCCTCTTTTTCCTTTGCTGATGATGCTGGGCTGACTGGCGCACCGGAAATGGAGAAAGCACGCCTTCTTCTTGGATTGATTTGCGCCTACGGCTTTGATACTTCGGATGAAGTGGTGAAAGTTCGGTTCCCTGCTTCTTGTCCCAACCTTGTCTTGTTTGTGCAACTTAGTGCATGATATGAACATGTGATTGAGGTTGGTTACTTTCAAGCTGCTTGTTCTTTACTTTGTGCATCTGGTAGGCTCAATGGAAAGCTGGTGATGCCATTGGTGAAGGGCAGATCTTGTTCTTGAAAGGCCAGCTGCGAATCCTGACAACCCTTTCCTTGCTGGCTGTGGTGCACAAGCGCAAGGCCACTTTGAGTGCAGCAACTTGGCAGCACTGAAGGGTGTCTTGCTGCCAGCCACTTGGTCTGGCAGCAAGAAGGGTGTCTTGCTGCCAGCCTACTGGCCTGGCAGCGAGACAATAAAATAGACATGACAAAGATATACAAAGATGCCTGCCAGCCACAAGGACTGGCAGGCATCAAGGTGTAATGATGTTGATGTTTATTGGTGATGTTGGTGATGTTGTTGTTTCTGATGATGATGATGATCATGATGATGATGATGGTGGTGATGATGATGATCAAAATGAACAACAGGATATATGTAAATCATTCTGATGTTGTTTTGTGCTGATGGTTGTGTAATGCAACATGTCTGGGACTGAGGTCCACCCAAAATTGCAACAGAGCCTACAGCATATTCGATGTGTCCACGTGGAGCTGACTAACCGAAAGGAGGAATTGTTTCTTGGGTTTGTTAGGTGTCACTTTAAATTTGTTTGAAGGTAGCAAACTAAAAACATATAGTTAAGCCAATGATGTATTGTGCAGCTGCACCCCCAGGTTCTACAACTTGCGGGTGGCCGTCAAAGGTCAAATTCGGACAGCTCCCACTGCTGTGACTTGGGTAAACAGCTTGCTGGAGTTAGCAAAAACTGGAGACAAGGACCTGCAGGGCACTTTGAATGCTTGGAATGCGCAGGCACCAAAGTCTGACAGGGTGCTGGGCGCAAAGTTCCTCACTGTGAAGAACCTTTTGGATCTTCCTACTGAGTGCCGCAATGCAATTTTCGCCTACATCAACAAATGGGGTTGGAGTTGTTTCTTGTATTGTACTACATGTTTCTGATGCATTTGAAACAGCAATTGGGAAATAGAGGCTTTTAAGCCACATGGATCCAAATGGGTTTTTATGATGCAGCACCTAGGCTGTCCATACAGTGAAGAATTGCTCTCCAGCAAGAAACTACTGCTCAGCTTCAGCTTCAAGACTTTGAAAGTACCCAAGACTTCGCCGTGGGCTGGCCATTGGTCCAAGGTCACAAAGGAGGCATTGAATCTCTGGGTTGAATGCTTGAATGCAAAATGGGACAGAACACAAAGGGCAGGACGAAGGCAGCCAACCAAATCGGAGGGTGAAAACCTTCTGGAGCAGTGTTACTTGGTTCTTATTTGCCTGATTGTTTCAATGTCGTGAGCCGTTTTTGCCATTCCAAGTTTGAAGCCACTGTATCTGTATAGCTTGGAGGTTGCTTGGCTATCGGCTTCAAGAACGACATTTGCATTCTGGCACCCAAGATGGAGAACATGGTGGAGTTGGAGTTTCTTGGACTTGAAATGTTTTTAGCATGTGAAGCTACTCGTAGTTTTGAAGCTTATCAACTGATCGGCTTAACACATATCAACTGTGTTCAAGGTGGATGTCTCGAGTTCGTGAAGCTGACCCTACCGCCCTTGCAGAACTCTCCAATGCAGTTTCGGTGAAGGATGCCAAGTACACTGTCCGCGACAATCCAAGTCACTCAGTTTCAAAAAGTGATCATGGAATGATGTCATGTGTGATGGGTGGGGAACTTAGGTTTGAAAACGATCCTTGACAACCATGCGCAGGCAAGTGAGAAGGGTGACCCATCAAAACCGGTGTCAGCCATGGGTGATTTCATGGACCAGAAGCAAAAGCAAATTGAGAAAGCCAACTTCGACCTCTTGATGAATGAACTTGCATTTGATTTGGAAAGTTTCAAAGTGTACCGTCAAAAGGTAGTTCAGTGCTTGTCGAGTCGTGCACGCAAAGTTCAAGATTGGAAAGGGCAGGTGGTTCAAGAGGCACAGCAGGCGGCAGAGCACTACATGGAGACATATGCAGCTTCCTATAGCATTGGAATATGTTTTTTGGCAAACAAATGTGTTACCATGTGCACATTTGATGATGATGATGATGGTGATGGTGATGGTTATGATGATGTTGACAATGTTGTTATTGTAACATGTTGTGGTGCTGAGGTAACGCTGAAGACCTGGGCCCCCCAAGATCCAGGGGCAGCTGCTATCACTGACTTGAAGAAAGAGTTGTCACAGCGGTCCCGGGCCCTCCAAATCCCTGATGATGGAAGTGTGCCTCGGCAACACTGGGCGAAGTTGAGTTGGTGTTTCTTGTTAGGGTCTTGCCTGGGCTCTAATTGCAGGTTGTGGTGTCCCTGATGAACTTGTCAGCCCCCGCGCTTGTGTCTGCAAACCACATGCCGGCTATCATGCACGTTGCGGGATACTTCATGTCTACAAGTGAGAAGAACCTGGGTCTTGCGCTCATGCCAGTGTACAGCTACACCCGCAACTACCTGTGGAAAGAGGAGGCAGCTGTGATGGAATGGATTTCCCAAACTGGTGCCCTTTGTGACAAGCAATGGTTTCTCCAATTTGTGAAGAAGTGTGTTACTTGGCTCATAGTTTCGTTTCAGTGGGAACCATGACTGTTGCATTCCTACAACAAGATGCCTGGACACCAAGACTATTTGATTTTTCTAATAGCTTGCTGTCTGGAAGAACATCATGTGTAAACAGTGCTGGTCTTACAAGTGGATGGGTTCAGAACAAATGTGACACCTTCACTATTTTCAATAATCAACCAGAAAAAATCACTGCCCAAAGTAAGGACCTCCGAGATGAACGACCATTGATATACCCTGGTCGTGTGCTGGTCCCTGCCGCAGCGACGGCAGCCAAACTGTTTTGGAAGAAGTCAGCCCTCTTCACAGATGGCCGAACACAGCAGGCAACTCAGCTTTCAGGGAAGGAGATGCGAACTGTGGAGAAGGTTGGGGAAGGACAGCTACCATCATCAACTGATGCCGACTGCACGGTTAGGGGGGCATTGAAGACAGCTCAGATTGGTGGTGATGCTGCAGCCAAAGTTTTCAAGCTGTTGACTGTGCTTTGGATGCAATATACTTACTTCATATATATATATATATATATCAAGATTTACATATACACATGCCCATGTTTGAAGAAGGCGCCATTGTGGTTGAAATTGGAGAATACAAGTTGATATTCCGTCATTGTTTTCTCGTGATGATTGGTTATGATGGTGCATGTTGTTCTGCAATGATGGTAGGTGTTGTTTTGCAATGACTGATGCGACTGAGGATGGCATGCAGTTCTCCTCACAAGTTATGGTGGAATTCCTGGACTTGGTTCCCATTGTGGGCAACAGTTTCGAGGCACTTTGGGGGTGGTTGGCATGTTGCCTTAATCATCAAGCCATGCACAATCGCTTAGAACTGGTGCCATACTGGCATTTCTGCCCAGGGCTTTCTGGAGTTGCAGCAGGGCGCAAACTTTCCATGCCACCTCACACTGGTTTGGCAAGATGAACAAGCTGCTGAATGGTTTGAGTTGATTGCGGCAGATGTCTTGCGTTCAAAGTTCCGTGATGGGTGCCTGAAGGTTCGTGGTTTCGACAGGACTGGGTTTACGGGGGGAACCAGGGGGCTTAATGGCAGCAGCAGCAGCAATTCTTTTCATGCACACCATTGTTTACAAACTGGCCCGGCCAAACTTTCCAGGCTATGTTTGGGGCTCAAGTTTGAAATCAGTTCTTGTTGTACAGCGCAACACTGCTGGTATTAAAATCAAAGTCAATTGTTTGGATACAACACATGTTTTTTTGCACCTGCCAAAGTTTGCCAACTTCGTGTATCAGTCAAGCTTGCATAAGCTTGCCAAATCTTGTTAGATCTCAGTATGTCTCAATACAGTGGCAGCTGGCCATGGCAATGGGAACCTCAGTCGTGGCAGTCGTGGCATTATCCCAGTGCAAGCTCCAGTGATCCTGGGCACACTGGGCAGAGATGGCACCCAAACCCCAACAATCCTGCTGAAGTCCGGTTACGTCACGCCATGGATCAGAAATGGGAGAGGGAGAAACGTCGCCGTCAAAAACGTCGAGAAGAAAAAGGTCATGGGAAAGGGCAAGATGATCCTCTGGCTCCTGGTGATGATCCTGCTCCTGAGCAAAACAAGGACAATGAGAACAAACAGAAGGAGCCACCTCTTTCCAAGCCGGCACCCAAACTGATGCCTGTGAAACAAACCAAGGCAGAGGTGCCACAATGCAAGCCAGAGCCCAAAAAGATGCCAGTGGATCGCCAAGTGCAGCCAAAGGTTGCCAAGACTGAACCAGAGGAGAACATGGAGAAAGACAAGAAGAGGTGTCAGGGGCAAGCTGCTTCTGACACTTGTGAGGATTTATGGAGAGAAGGCGAGAAATGGGCTGAGGAGGAAACGATGAAGCTGCAGGAGGCTGAGAAATGGGCTGAGGAGGAAACGATGAAGCTGCAGGAGGCTGAGAAATGGGCTGAGGAGGAAACAGTGCAGTGGCTCAATGAACGGTACGCCTTCTGGGTTGATTGTATGGAATGGGCTGATGAGGAAACCAAAATATGGCTGGCACAGAACCTTTCACCCAATGGCATCGAGCAGAACATGGTCAGGAACACCTACTCTGTCAGACTTTCGCCTGCATTTATTTGCGATCAAAGATTGATGAGGGGACAATTGAAACAATCCATCCACTGTTCAATGATTAATCAAAGCTCCTTTGTGGAGGGGCTGTGTGGGGCCGTGTTTTGTTCGCAATCAACAATAGTCAGCCAAGGAGGACCACCTGCTCGAGCATCGCAAAGCAATACTTGAGCCGAGTCGAGGACCAGAATCGGGGTTGCAAAATCAAGTCCATAACATTTTTCATGCCGGGTGTCCATGGAATTTGTCTTAAAACACCTTGCAGAGGGCAATTTATGTGAATTTATGTGGTGGGCTTGTTTTGCAGTTGGCTAGAACCTTGTTCTTGGATACATGATAGGCATATATGTGATATTGGTTTTCCCCTTGAAGCAGGAGAGGATGGCATTGAAACATCACCACACACACATACATATACATGTATCCATATCTATCTGTATTCATTTTTATATTGTAATATACTTTGAAACCCGGTAAATTTCGATATTGAAATATTCAAAGACTTTCATACTGCAGAAATCAAAAAGTACATGTAGAATCTGTCTGGTGTGCATACTGTGATCTGCCCAATCTGCTGCCACTAAGGACATCATTGATGTTGAGACGCAGTGATTGGCAAAAAGGAAAGAGCCTGGCGCTGTGGTGTTTTGTGTCTCTTGCTGCCAGCCGCTTGGTCTAGCAGCAAGAAGGGCATCTTGCTGCCAGCCACTTGGTCTGGCAGCAAGAAGGGCATCTTGCTGCCAGCCTGCTGGCTTGACAGCAAGAAAATAAAATAGAGATGACAAAGATATACAAAGATGCCTGCCAGTCCATGTGACTGGCAGGCATTGCAAAACTCTCATGTTGATTTCAATTTGTTCTTCCGACCCTGCAGGAAATCAGAAGAGCCACCAGAGCAGACCATGGACCCTCTTCCACCGTTGCCTGACTTGAAGCGCTTGGTCTATGTCAAGGACTCTTCTTGTTGGAGAAGTATGTGCATAACACATATGTTTCTTGTTGAAGAAATAAGGTTTTGTTGAAAAAGGTGCAAAAAACCTGACAGTTGCTGAAGAAAATGTCAACAATGTTTACTTTGACTTACACCTGTTTCTGCAGGATGAAGATGGTGTGGCCGTCACACCAGGGATCCCTGACACAATTGTCAATCAGTGGTCGCACAAGGATGAGCTGAAGAAGTTTCAGGATGAGATGGTAGACATCTTTGGTGCCTTTGATCAAGCTACTCCGAGCCCACCAAACAAGCGGCTTGCAACTCCACCGATTGACCAGCAGCCTAACAAAAGGGGAAGGGTAGTGGGACCTGACCGGATCTGCAAAATCGAAGATCTCAAAGGTGAAGAACAACACAAGGTGGGGGTATAAGTCTTAGAGTTATACCAACTGATACACTTTGTTTGTTTATCCCTTTGTCGCCAGGATCTCCATCAGGTGAAATATATTTTCCAATCATTCTAATCTGGGGGCCCCTGGCCAGGTGGTGGTGCAGAATATCCGAACTACGTCAGACCCTCCCTATCTGACAATCCGCAGTGGCGCAGTGGTTGCATTGGTGAATGGTGGAGATTGTTCCGTATCTTGGCACTCTTATGGGCCCATACCCTTTGGTTTGGTAAGAGGGCCGTAATGAAGTTAGTTACAGCCTACTATCATGCTAAGGTAAAGGTGCAGCTC